AACCCATAATATAGGCATTGAGGACTTGTGTGTACCTGCACAGGATAAATCTTGTGCAGTTACGGGTACCCCATATAATAGGCGATGATAACTTATGAATACTCTCATAGAATAGGCATTGAGGATTTATGGCACTTCCATAGAATTCGTCATTAGAAGTTATGGGTTTCCTATAGGATGCATCGTTTTCTCGGGATTCCCATCGTGTCGCTTGGGTTTCAAAGATTCCCATTGTTCTTATAGGAATGTGGAATCTTGTAAATTCATCCCCTAGCCAAGAATCCCCTTACGAATCTCCGGGGACTCGCGACAGGGAGACCTCCAGGATTTACGAGGTAGTCAAGAACTCCCCGAGGATTTACGTGGGAGTCCCTAGAGATTTACTAGGGAGTTCATGGGGATTTGTCAGAAACTCCCCAGAAATACACCATAAAACTTACGACGATTGTAAACGATCGTACCGACGTTTTTATCATAATATCCACCCCCTAGTGGAATCTCATTATAAAGTCCCTTTGGGGGTCCCAGGAGAATGACGACAGGGACTCCTCCACGGATCGAGGGGAAGTGGGGACTCTCGACTAGGGACCTTTTCTCCTATGTGTAGCAGCCTTCAAAACTGGTTATCTGTGTTCCACACACTTGAAAATATGATCAGAGTATATTGTTGAAGACTACTTTGTACTTTGGATTTTTTGAATTTTTTGAATTTTTTGAGATTTTTTGGGATTTTTTGGGATTTTTGGGATTTTTTGGGATTTTTTGAGATTTTTCGGATTTTTTCGGATTTAAAATCCAAAAAAATCCGCTTTTTCCCCCTTGGTTTGGAGTTTTTCCTTGGTCTATTTTTGGGCCAATGGAGTTTTTTTTCCGTCGTGATAGCTCGTCGTGTTGTGCTAGCTTCTCATCATTTTTTTTTTGATAATAAAAAACTAGGTTGTTCTATGTCTTATCTTCAACTACAGGTCTTATGTTTGATCGATGAGAAGCTAGCACGACGACTAATCAGATTCAACCTATTTTAAACCAATCTTCTTTGTTCCACAAAATACCACATCCAATCTATATTTTCCCATACATGTATCCTTTGTTATCAACTTACATAGAACCTTTTTTTTCCTTCTTGAAATTCAATCATCGCCGATCGATCGGATCTGGTGGAGGAGATTCAGAGTTCAATTCTCCATCGACTGATATACAAACTCATAGAGAGAATCCATTTATGAGAAAAAAAAATTTTTCCACTGCAATGATCATGGACTATCCGTTGTATACGGTAATTTGGGAGAGACGTTTTTTTCTTTCTCGAAACTCAATCATCGTCGGTTGATCGGCTCTGGTACACAAGATTAAGAATTCAATTCTTTATCGATTGTCATACAACTCATAGAGGGAATTCATTTCCATCAAGAAAAAATTTCCAGCTCCAAAAATCATGGAGTATCGGTGGTTATCGTAGTTTGGAGAAGAGTTTTTTCCTTCTCGAAACGAAATCATCGTCGATAGATCGGATGTGATGGAGAAGATTCATAATTCAATTCTGTATCGAATACATGTTGTTGAGTTTCCCGAAGAGACTCACCAAGAGAGAAAAAACCCGTGAAAATATTGTTGACGCTGCATGGATGGTATAGGTGACCGAGATCTGTAGTTTTCTCTCGTTGTTGTAAAGTGTCACCCGAAAACAGTTTGTGGTGCATAAGATGCAGAATTTACTTATGGCAATCCAAAATTAGTGTCGTTAGGGTTTTATTACCTTATAGTAAGGGAAAGAAAAATTTTCTTTTTTTATGAATAGATAGCGCTTCTTTCACTCTATCTTTCTATGCTATTTGATCGACCTTCACTCAATATCAAAATAAAAAAACCTTGATAAGAACAGTTTTTGTTGGAAGCTGACTGGTGGTATCACATTATATTATCATCCTTGTATGCTTTTTTTTCGTTCTTTTCTTATTTTTCTCTTATCTTTTTTCCCTTTTCCCTCGTCTTGCCATGTGATTAACCGGGTAGATATTTCAGTCTGCACAATCTAATAATGATGCAAAATAAAAAGCAGAAAGGAATTCAACTAATGTTTATTTCATCAAATGTTCAAAATAATCATCCTCATTATGCACACATAACTGCATTCTTTGCAACCATTTATCGAAAGTCTTTTTATATTCTTCTTTGCTCAGTGAGTACATAAACTCGGTGACAGCACCACGTAATGATTCTGAATCGTTATGATCATCCAGATTTTCTTTGATTAAATCGAATAACCAAAAGTCACATAGTGCTAGGTCTGGAGAATTCGATGGATGTGGCATTATTCTAATTCGTTCCGATTCGAGATAATTGGTCACATCTTCATGAACATGTGGTCTTCCGTTATCGTGATGAATTATGATATCACGGGTGTCAGAAGATTGCCTCTGACAGTTGATTTCGTCGACAAGAGGTCGCAAACAATTGTTGACATAATAATGGTGACCCATTGTTTGTCCTGTTCCCATATGATGAATGAGGACAGGACCATTTGACTTAGAAAAAATGGAAAATAATGTTCTTGGAGCAAACTTACTGCGTTGAATTACAACAGGTGGATGATCTCCTCTTAACACCCACGCAGCATTTGATGATTTGCGACCAATCTGTTGATGATAAAACCATGACCCGTCACCAGTTATTACATCACATAAACGCCATGTTCCTTTTTGGAATTTTGCTAAATTTTCCTTGCATATTCGAACTCGCTCTGACCATTGACAATCATTAAGAAGCTTGGGTACATAACGAACGGTAAGTTTCCTAAGCTTTAAATGATCTGAGATGATTCGCTGGACAGTCCCATAACTTAAATCAATTTGCTCCTGTACCTATTCAATTGTAATGTGAGGGTCATGATCGATTAGAAGGCGAACTTGTTCAATATTTTCAGCTGTAGTTTCAGTGATTGGCCTTCCAGGTCTTGCTTCGTCTTCAATTTCTTCTCGCCCTTCACGAAACGATTTAGACCATCTTTGAACTGTTCTAAGAGAAGGAGCTTGATCACCGCAAACAGAAGATAATTCATCATGAATAATGCTTGGTGAAATGTTAAGTGCGACACGCACTTTAATATAGAAGCGAAAGTTTTCCGTGGTCATCTGAAAACAATAGACACGGTTAAAGCTCAATCCAGCTTAAATGTTTTTTGGTTGTATCAAAATATCGCAGCAAACTGTACATATGTGCAAGAAAGACAAAACATGACGTATCTCTCAACATATATGTATGCATAGACGACTAGTCACATGGCAAGACGAGAAAAAAGGGAAAAAACATAAGAGAAAAATAAGAAAAGAACGAAAAAAAAGCATACAAGGATGATAATATAATGTGATACCACCAGTCAGCTTCCAACAAAAACTGTTCTTATCAAGGTTTTTTTATTTTCACATCGAGTGAAGGTCGATCAAATAGCATAGAAAGATAGAGTGAAAGAAGCGCTATCTATTCATAAAAAAAGAAAATTTTTCTTTCCCTTACTATAAGGTAATAAGACCCTAACGACACTAATTTTGGATTGCCCTAAGTAAATTCTGCATCGAATCCATCTTATTGAATTGCTCGGCGACACTCATGAAGAGAGAAAATATCCGTAAAAATATGGTTGACGGCATATAACTTGCAAGGGGACCAACTATGGAGCTTTTTTGTCTCTCTTGTGAAATATCTCGGAAAGAGTTTGTGATGTATAAGATGCAGAATTAAATTCTACATCGAATTCTTATTATTCAAAGTCTTGGCGATATTCATGAAGAGAGAAAGAATCCGTCAAAATATGGTTGACGGCATATAACTTCCAATGGGAGACCAACTTCGAAATTTTTCTCTCTTGTCAAGTATCGCCGGAATATAGTTTGTATTGCATATGATGCAGAATACAATTTTGCATCGAATCCATATTGCTCAATATTGCGGCGATACTCATGAAGAGAGAATGAATTCCTCAAAATATCGATCTCGGTATATGATTATCATATATGACCAACATTGGAACTTTTTCTCTCTCTTGTCAAGTATCGTCGGGATATAGTTTATATTGCATATGATACAGAATTAAATTCTGCATCGAATGCATATTATTCAATGCCCCGGCAATGCTCATGAAGAGAGAAAAAGTTAAGGAAAACAGCCCTTAGTGCAGATGAGTAGCATATTGGGCTAACGTCGTAGGTTTTCTCTGACACTGGCGGGTTTGGTTGGGATTATTTGCTGTCGCTGTCGAGGGAAAATGGGGTTTTGGTATGAAGTAGGCGCCCTAGAATATGTGATGACTATTTAGGGGTAAAAAAGTGTTATGAATATGAAGGATGGTGTGCTTTTCTTGCAGTGAAGGTGAGGTTGGTGAATTTGAGAAAAGCGAGAATATGGACGCATAGTGATATAGAATAGATCTTTCGCTGTCGTCAAGGTAGCCATACCCAGATTTCTTTCCTCTACATGGGTGTATTTTAGTGTTTGGAGTTTTTGATTGGTCTATTTTTGGAGCAATGGAGCTTTTTTTTCCGTCGTGATAGCTCTTCGTGTTGTGCTAGCTTCTTATAGATTTATGTTTGGAGCACGTTTTCAGTATAGACGGTATGATCAAGAGGATGGCAAACTGCGATAAACAAAACAACATAGTTGCTGCTGTAAAATCTTGTCAAAACAAGTTAATGAAGACAGTGCAATATAATATTGGAATGGCTGGAGTTACTATGCTCGTATCATGTGTCCTTATCACACATTTCTACGTGGTCAAACGTTGTGAGAATATTAGTATCAACTGTAATGCATTCACAGATGAGAGAACAGCCATCGCTGATTATAATAATCTTACCTGCGCTGAATCAATTTTAAGATGGTGCTCTTTAAATCATATTGTTCAGTCGAATTGCTCTTGGAGTATCGGAACGTTTCGAAGCCATTTTTATTCAATGGCAGGTTTGATTAGTAAACCATTTCATGAGTTAACCGAACATAAAAGAGGATTAGCATTTATCCGACTCGGGGATGGAGAAATGATGCTTATGTTCGGAACCGCGATAAATGGTATTGATGGATGGTCATGGGCAGGTGGACCATCACGATTAGGTCAAGATTTACGAGAGGCATTACGCCATCCAAAACACCTATACAATGCGGTAAGCCCGTTTTATTATGGAATATATGATGTCAATAGTATTTGTCCTTTTCATGAGCTACTAACCATGATTTACCAACACCCAAAATACCTCACTTATACAAACTTATTCGTCAATTCAAACTATCCAGCAACTAAACTGTTGCATCGAGCGCTAATCAAAGATGAACGAAAAAAAATCATTCTGATTATAAACAATGGAACCAGTAAGAAAACAATGGTCGAACTGAACGAGTGGGTAGCAGAAATTTTGCATTATCCCACCGAAGGCCCAAAGATGTGGGAAGACGATAAATTACGTAAGGAAATGATAGAAAAAATTGTAAGGGTTGCAAAACGCTACACAAACCGACTTTTTGCTTTTTCAGTAGGACCTCTATCAAGAGTTTTAATTTACTATGCATGGTTGCAAAATCCTTATAATCGATACATAGACTTTGGTTCCACATTCGATGAGATAACCAAAAATAGGAAGACTCGACCTTACCAACGAAATACAGAAATGAATCGCGATCCGACCTATCTGGTGAAATTCAACATAAGCACGAATCAATTTTATGTAAGGGCTATTGACTAAACAGGCGATAATGTGATATTTCATGCAGAGCTGTTATGATCATTATCGAAAATTAGAGCTGAAAATACTTTTAGTATGCCAAAAGCGACAAGGTCTGAACTGCATAACTGTGTACAAACTCGACAACTAATTTCTGTTTATGCATCTCTCACATGACGAAACAGCTCCATAATAATATAGATTTGCTCATGGAGTTAGTGTTGTCTTTCTTTGAGTTACAGGGTGAGTGCGAGTGCCACTAGGATCCTTAGATGTGGGGTGGAATGCAAACCTTTAGCCATTGGCACAGGTGCTGGTATCAACCTGGGCAATGCAAAGATTACATGTCTATCAAATAATGCCATCCCCCAAACTGGACATCCAAACCGCCCTACACTGGAAACCGGATCAGCCGATGTGCCAATTACCAATATAATCTGTTGGAATCTTTCAAAACGGTCCGACTTTTATCGTTTGTCTGCTAGCTTCTTTTTTTGATTTGTTAGAGGGCGTGGGTGTGAGTGTGAGTGTGAACGGGTGAAGGTGCGGATGAGTCTGTGGGTGTGAGGTGTGGGTCTGGCGCTGGGTGTGGCTGTGGCTTTGGGTATTCTCTTCACCCACATCCACACTCGCACTCATCCACCGACACCTACTCATACCCACATCCATATCCATACCCGCATCCATACATTCACATCCACCCATACCCACTCGCGCACCCAAATCAAAACCCGAACCACACCCACTCCTACACCCATATCCACTCGTACCCCCACACCGACACCCTCACCAACACTCGCACACTCATTCACACCTACACCCACACCCACACAAGCTCGACACCGACATCCATACTCACGCCACCTACACCCACACCCACACACGCTCGACACCGACATCCATACCCACGCCACCTACACGCACGCCACTTGAACGCACACCGACACCCGCTCCCACTCGCACCGACCTGCTCCCCACACCCCACTTCGACACCCACACCCGCAGCACTCACGTCCACACACACTCACACCACCCGCACGTACACCTGCACCCGCACCCGCACCACAGCCACACCCGCACACAGCTACACACTCACATCTTCAGCGACATAGAGAACATTGTAGTACCGATGATTCGTGTTCGCGATTTTAGTGTTCCGTTTCAGCGGCGCACTACCTTCTCGACCGTTGGTTATTATTATCAGTTCAATTGACGCGAATAAATTTTTCGGTTTTCATAGTTTGAGTCGCGTAAAAGGATGGCTTTGTGAGAGATTACGTTAGACGAGTGAGGGTGGGTGTGGATGGGTGCGGGTGTGGCTGTGGCTGTTTAATGGCTGATGCAGCATCAGCCATTAAACAGCCACAGCCACACTCGCACCCACCCACAGCCACAGCCACACCCAGCCACACCCACACCCATACTCACACCCACACCCACACCCACACCCACACCCACACCCACACCCACCCACAC